GAGGGTGAATACCTGAGCTTGATTCAAGTGCCGGAGTGTAGCACAGGATCTTGTTCGCTCGTTGGCCAACATGAAGGGAGGGTCTACCGTTTCGTTGCCTTCCCACCTGATACTTCGGGGTGCAAAGCCAAATAGAGGCCACGCTTCCGCTTAAATCACAGAACTCTTGAGCTAGAGGGAACTCTAAAGGTCATCTAGGCCAACCCCCCGACTGCTGCAGAGGTCCACCCCTCCAACAGCCCGCCAGAAGGGGACTCCAACTCTGTCTAACCATCTCCAAAGACAGAGAGCATTGCCCCATCTTCTGAGGTGGTTGATTCCACAACTGAATGGATTTACCGCCAAGAAGTTCCTCCTAAGGTTTAATCGGACTCTCCTTTCTTGCTCTCTGAATCCACCGCTTTGGATTTTAACCTTCTGGGGCAGCAGCAGGAGGAGCCCTGATCCATCTTCCCCAGCCGCAGCCCTTCCCATATTTAAAGATGGCTAAAATCAGGAGGGGGGAGTTGGTGGGGGTCTGTCCCTGAGGGCATCCTGGGTGTGCAGAAGGGGTCCCAGTCCTGTCTTTGGATTGTGCGCAGAAAACAAAGGGTATGGACCGCTCCCTGGCTTGGCTAAAGTGGATTAACCCTCAGAAGAGGATCTGCCAGAAGGCTCCTGCACTTGATGGCCTCTTTTCATCATCTTCCAGCTCCCAGGAGCCAAGATGCAGAACTGTTCGCGACACATCCTGTGGAAAGGGTACTATGAACGAGACTTGTCATCCTACTATCTTTTCAAGCAGCACTGACTATTTATAGACTGGGGTTTTTCTTCCTCCTTCCTTCTTACACACGTCTATAAAGATCTAAGATGGGATTTAACCAAGAGCAGAGAACACAGACGAGCGCTCGCTCAAGACTCCAGATGGGCAGCAGCTGGAAAAAGGCACGAGGAGAGGCGTGCGGATTTGCGGGTATGAATTACAATGCCCAGAATCCCCCTGCCTGGAGAATTCCGGGAGTTGGAATCTAAAAGACGCTCCTCTGTGGTCCTCCAGCATCCAGACCAAAGAAGAAAGATGATTGCCCTCATCTTTGGAGCAGCCCTGGGCCAGGAATCAGGAGCCCCTTTGCAAGGCAGAACCTTCCTGCCTTAGCTGGACTGGGGGGGATCCCACCTTTCTGATTCTTCAGTCCTGCCCGTAGCTACTTTTCAGGGCTATCTAATTAACTTCAATCTGGACCCCAGATTTGGGCTGAAGCTTATTTACTTTCACCTACCATGGGGAAATTGCTAGTTGGTATAAATCAAAGATGTCCCCTCTCCACCTTTCAGAAATTGGAGGCTCAAACTTTGCTGAATTATAATTTACTTTTTCAAATGTTATCAATCATTTCAGATTCTGCTAATCTGATCTTTGTTGATTTTAGAACTCTAATTGTCAGTGGTCATTTCAGACACTTCCAATTTGATTTGAACTGTGTTTTTACTTCACTCGGTAGCTACTCTGAACTCTAACCAGAACCGCAGACAAACGGCCTCCACATTTGTCACTGCAGAAGGAAGAGCCTTATATTTTATATATCTTTTAATGTGAGCATTTGTGGAGATGTCCACTTCATGTGTGTGCGCATGGGGGGGGGAACAGCTGAGGACAAGGGAGAATATCTTGCTGAGAACTACCTGGCGAGTTGATGCAGGACGACGTTCGAACCACGGACTTCCTCTTTCATAACTCCACAACACACCAGATCTCAAACATGTTGCTGTGTTAGCAAGAAACAAGTGTCCTTGACTCACCAGCCACGCCCGGCAAAAGAGGTTGCAGGGGGCGCTTGAGATGGGCTTCTGAGCAGCCGGAAGCGGCAGGAAGTTCAATGAGTTTTAACACAGGCAACAACTTTATTCTGTTTTCCTCTGATTTTGCAATACTATGAGAACAAAGTCTTGTGCATGCACAACTACAGACAGGGGAACTGGGTCATCCCGGGTAGGAAAAATAGCATCCTCTCTAAGGTGAGGAGAGCAGAAGGGAAGGGCATTTAGACGGAGCAAAATAGAGGCAACAGAATCTTTCAAGGGGCTTACGAAGAGTTTTGTGTAACTCATGGGCTTCTATAACCTCCTGTTTGAGAGAACCTCTGTGGCTGTTAGACTGAATCAAAATCTTTTGGGATCACAACTGTTCTGAAGCAACCTGGGTATACAGGGAGAAGTGTTCATATTTACAAATGAGAACCTCTGTAAATACAGGAAAAGACTCCCGGCCTAATAGACTGATTGGAGAGATGGTTTTTCTTTTTTAACGTCCTAATCTTAGGAAGCCGCTTCCTTTTTATAATAGAGTGCAATGCAGAATGAAAACAGGCCTACATTTTACCTTCCTCCCCCAGTAACTACCTTAGGAAGCAGAGCATGCTTTGTCAGGTAAGGTCCACCTTGCTGGGGATTCTGTGCATCAAATCCTTTGAACACCTGAGTCAAGTTTAGCCGGTTGGTCAGGGAGGCTTCAGTATATGTATCTCTTTGAAGTAATTAAACATCACTAACCATCCTCTTTTCTCTTTCACAGAGAAAAGGATTTAAAAGGCTTTTTTCTCCTTCTCTAGGCCAAACTCAAAGACATCTTGATGACTCATCATTGCTAGTTTTCACAGTGCCCATTATCCCCATGTAGCATGGGCATTGTAGTCCCACACATCTGGAGGGGAAATATAGAGGGAGAACTACTCTAGAAGGGTTATATCCTGATTATATATAAGATTTCCAATACTGTTCTCTTCATAATCAGTGAAGACAGGAAAAGAGAATTCCCCTAAAATCAGTTTCATAAAATGTTAATTCATCATCTCTTAATAAAATAACCCAAATATGACCAAACAGCTGTTTTTTTTTAAGTAATAAGCCCCTTAAGGTATAGGATTTTATTCCAGTGTCTGCACCAAGACCAACGACTATTTCTTATAGGCTAAAGCTCTCTCAGATAATGGTTGACTTTAAAAATAATAATAATTCAGTCAGAGGGATGAGGGGAAATAAGGGGCTGGAATATTATATTTCCCTTTGCATTTGTTTTCAGGAATAAATTCACAAACAGGATTTGGTAATTAAAATGTCTGTCCGTTTTCTCTTGTGTCATACTGATAGAGAAAGCAACTCTAAGTGAAATGAAGCCAGGAAAACATATTTGAGAGACACCTGCATTCCACCTGGGGTGTGTTCACAGAACATGACTAGTCACCAAGAAATCGCAGATACAAAACCCAGCACCAATTCAGGAGAACGAAAGTTTCATTTTTGAATGACAGATCATTGCAGGTGCTTACAAACATACACCACATTAAACTCCACCATCTTTAAAGTCCCACAAGACTGTTTCCTGATTTTCCCGCAACCATAATTCTGTTGGGTTCCAACACGCTACAGGCCACCCACTGGAAAAAAAAAACTTCAGCAATGAATTCAGGATTATTTCTATGATCAGGGGACAAAGTCAGTTGTCAAACCCCGACTCTTTCCATAACAGAAAAACAAAGGAGACTGGAAACACAACTCATGGGAAGCAAAGTAAATGATTCACTGAGGCATATTGACATAAGAGCGCCCACAGCTTGCCTCGTCAGCCTAACGAAACTAATGATAAGCAGGGATGGGGCTGCCAGGTAACCAGCCAAGAGCAAGCCTCAAAGTTCAAGCGAATAAATGTAACTTGCACACACCCAAGCCAGGGAGGGCGGCGAGCGAGCTGAGACCTGCCGGCTTGCTTGCCTGCTTCCCGGGGCCCAGCCAAATTCCACCTTGCCGTTGCTGGAGGGCAGAAGGGAGTCGAAAGCAGCCCTTCCTTCTTGCTTCCATGGCTTGAAAGCAATGAAGGAGAGAGCAGGGCTCAAAATGAGGGCTGCCATCTCAGAATGAGAAGCTAGTTCAGCAATGACTGTGAGCTTTCGCCCTTAGACACGGTGTGCATCACCTAGGCAGGCCATGCATTTTACATTAATAGCAATAAACAGCTTAAGTAGTGATGGTCAATTTCCTGAAGCTCTTTCTCCAATGTGGGAAAAAGGAGCAGTGTTTCAGATTAGAGACCAAAACCCCGTTGTCTCTAATTTGCACCAAGAGTAAGAGTTTTATAGCTTCTTAGGTTCAGCTTAGGTGGACAAAGACTACAGATCCCAGAATCCCCAGATGATGGGGATCGTAGTCCAAAAGAGGAACTTTCTCAACCTTTGGGGTAGGGAAATCTGGCTAAAACCCTGAAGTGATGAAAGCCAGATCTCTGCCCTTTGCACTTCAGAAACATACACATTTAATGGTAGACCCTAAAGGGACCCCAGAGGCTGTCTAGTCCAGCCCCATCAATGCAAGAAAAGGTACCACAGAGTTAGCACACCCCGGACAGAGGGTCACCCAGCCTTCTTGAAGGAGGGTATACCATTTTCCAAGGCAGTCCGTTTAACTGTGGAGCCCCTCTTGCTATCAAGAAGCTCTCTCTGTGCTTCTCTGAAGATTGTCTGTTCTCCTGAACACTCCCAGAGGTGGGTTATGGTTAGACCCATTTTAGAAAGAAGGGGAGAGATCACCCCAGTGGAAGCACCATCAGAAGACCTAAGCAAGTCCAGCCTTCTCTCTTCCACCGTATGTACGCTATTTATCATAGTGTCCTCACAGATTTGGCTTTGTGATTTGATACCCCACCTTTTAGACAGTCTTTTCCTGGAAAGAAATGTGGGTCACAGTTCACTAGCAGAATCAGCAGCAACCACGTTTCGGAAGCCAGGGCCATACGCTCTGGGGCTTTCGGAAAAACTCCGAGATGACATCACAGAGTGATTCATCCAGACCAAGATGAAAGTTGCTTTTCTTTTAAAAAGGAAGGTGGCTGGCGGGCTGGATCATCAAAGGGCAACAAGGCCAGCCTCTTACATCACAGCGGACAGCCCTCCCAGGATGCGTCACCCAAAACAAAGGAACTTGGTGGAACCAGGAAGCCGGCGAGTGTGCCAGGGAGTGCCTCTTACCTCTGCCCAGCACTCGGCCCCTTTCCAAGTCCCGCCTGGGCACAGTGAAAGTGTACGTCTTCGGATTAAAACCCGGCTGGCAGGGGCCTGCGTCCTCCTCACAGAGGCACCTTGTCACCTGATGGGGAGGAAGGAAACCAAAGAGGAATCAAAAGCCGCCCGAAAGCCACTCCCTGAGAAGTTAAAGGGGCGAGAATCCTTGATGGGAAACATTGTTCTGGCTTTGGAAAGACACCCCTGCCGCAGCATATTTTTCTGAACACACACACACACACACACACAGAGGGGCGAGAATCCTTGATAGGAAACATTGTTCTGTCTTTGGAAAGACATCCCTGCCGGAGCATATTTTTCTGAACATACACACACACAAAAGGTAGGAGCGTACAAGAAATAAAAAGCCTCACCACGATCAGAAGTGACCCTAAAGAAAGAGAAGTGAAACCATTCCACTTGCAGTACTCCCCCCCCCCAATTCCAAAGGCGAGAACACATCAGAAGCACTTCTTATGCCTGTATTTCTGGGACACCGTCCATTTTGTGCCCAGAAACACGTTTGTCTGGAGTTTAATTCGGCCGCCAGGACGGCGAAGATTTTTTTTTTTAAAGCCTGCTTTATGAACTAAGTCAGGAGCCACCAAATCCTCTAAACTGTTCCTCCCAAGAAAAATCAATAATTATTAAAAAGAGGACACCTAAAGATTAGGTGACCCCACCCCCTTGTGTACCCCTTTTCACCAAGGCTCCCAAGTCACATCCAGCACAGAAGTCTTTGATTGGGGCAAGAAAAAAAGGTCCGTGGCACACACGTCTCTGGCAGACCGGACGGCCCTGTTTGTGGGGCCCACCCTTGGAGACTGGACAGCCCATTGCTTAGGGTGGCCCTGCCTGCCTCTAAGGATGCAGGAGAAGGTATCTCCCCAGACAGACGCCCTGGTCGGGAAGCACCAAAACCAGGAGAAAGTAGTCACTTAACCTTTACACCCTATAGCAAACCTCTGGAAAGTTACTTATCAGAACCCGGACGGTCAAAATCCTCAGCTCCTCCAGGACGCAGCACAAATGTCAGGTGTCGCCCAACCACACCCTGGCCTGTTCTCAGGCAAAAGGGGGGGGGGGAGAGAATCAAGGGCCAAGCAAGGGAGGATCCGGAGGGGGGGAGGAGAAGAAGGGGGTTCAGCTGTGTGTGTGTACCTGGGGAGGGGGATGTTCCTGAACTGGCCCTGAAGAAGGAGCAGTCGTATCCGGAGGCCACGGGAGAAGACCACCAGGAAGTGGTCGTGGCCAGGTGATCAGAACTCATAAAAGTTCCTTTTGGGGGGGGGGCTTACTGCTCCCAGAGTCTCCTTTGTCCATGTTGGCCGGGAGGGGAGTTCCTTTTGCCCAGCTTTGCTTCAAGATCACGCAGAAGCGTGCTTCTGAACATGGGCAGAGCGGGGCTTCCTCCCGCGAGAGGAAGGCTGCGGGTGGGGGGAAGAGAGCGAACCCCGAAGAGCCCTCCCCTCCCCTCCCCTCCCTCTTACCTGGAGCAACAGGAGGCCGAGAAAGGGGCTCAGCCCCGACCGGCGTCCGCGCGGCGTCCCCATCCCAACCGTCCGAGGCCAGGCGAGCGCAACGAGGTTCTGCTCGCTCCGGGGCAGGCAGGCTCCGGCTACAGGTGGAGGCCCCGCCCCTCAGGCGAAGCCCCGCCCCTAAGGTGTGAAGAGGGAGGGGTCTCCCCCCCTCTCCGCCTCCCTCGCTCCGCCCTCCCCGCTGGAGCCGAGCCAAGCGCCCTGTGGGATCCGCAGGCGGACAGCGGCCCGGGCCAGCCGTGCTTGGCTCTGAGGCCCCTCGCGAAGGGGATGGAACCCCAAAAGAGCCACCCCTTGATTAGGGGACGGAAAGCTGTCCTGCTCTGGGCCTGGATCGGGGTCCCGAACCCCTTATTCAAAGGGCGGGCAAGCATCCCTAAGCCTGGGAAGCGGTGTTGCCGAGAATACACGTGGAAAACGGCCCTTCAGGCGCCTGCGAAAACTAAGACACGCGTGTAAAGGATCGGGGTAGTAGAAGTGTCCGTAAATCTGTCCAATGAGTCCACAACGACCCCAGGGGTTGAATACCCGTGACTGCCAAGTGCAGTGTGTGTTGGGTGAGGACAGTGGTGGTAACGGGCAAGTGGTGTCATACACGCGTTCTCCCCTCCACCCAATGCTACCGAGAGACACAAGCCCAAGACCGAGGAGTCAGCTGTGGTCCTGGGCGCCCGGTGAGGAAGGACTTCCGAACCCTAAAAAGCAGCGGTGGGAGGACCGTGGCTGGCTGCGGAAGCCCCGTCCTTTCTCCCTCGCCCGCCCGCCCGCCTCATTTCAGCCCCGCATCTCTCAAAGTGAGGAGGAGGGAAAGGCATCGGTTGGGAGGAAGCGGCTGCCATTAAGCTCCGAGCCAAGATTTCTTTCGCTCCATTTGCAGCTGGTGAGCGCAGTAACCGGAATAATTGCTTTTTTAAAAAAGGGGGAAAAAAGCAGCAGCAACATGTTGATCATTATTCTTCTAAAAGAGGGCATTAGTGGAGTAACAGCTTCCGAAAGAGAAATAATATAATAGGCAGGAAAAAGTTAAATTTGATTTTGAGGACGTACAGTCAACTGCCATGCATTCTCGGTCCTACTGAAGGGCAAGGTAGGGTGGCCCTTAATATAGGCTCCTACTGTATTTTTAAAAAGGCAGAAACCTTTGAATGCAGATTTAGGGTACAGTGGTAAGAATTTCTGGCATCAATGGGGCAATCCCTGAAGAAGTACTTAGACAAGAATAAAAGGCCATAAAACTCATTAAATGTGAAAAAGTGGAATACTTTGGCCACCAAATGAGAAACAAACATTGCAGCTTGTTAGCGTTGATCATTCAAAATACAACTCACAGGGCACAAGGAAGGACTCAGGCTGAACACGGTAGACTGGTTGAACTGCATCTCACACACCCTGCTTTAAAAGGACTGCTGCCTCCATATTCCACAGAGCCGCCATGAGGAAGTCCATCAGGAATGAGTAATGAACAGCACAACAACTCATTAACATGCTACTTTTGATGTTATTTTTAAATGCGCACCAACTAAAAGGCCCCCCGGGCTCTTCAAGATTCAAACAGTTCTGAAATGCCAAGATGTTTCCTGAACAAAATGTCTAACATTAACTTTAAAAGCATTCTCATGAGCCCGCTAAGTTTACAGCAAGCGAACAACAACAACAAAAGAGGATGACATCTGTTAACATGTTATTTGCAAGCTTTAATTAAAAATCAGGAAGCTGATGTTTAAAATCGAATCAAAAGAAGAGGCTTTGATTCTTAACTCTTCCCACTCTATCACTCTTACTGGGTCTTCAGCCACTGAAGAGGCTGTTAAGCCTCTACTATTATGCCTCTGCTTAAAAGCATCTTAAAAATTCTTAAAATTCATTTCCTTTCACCTTCAGGGGCTGCTTTTATGGGGTTCTGTTTGTTGGATTATTTACATTTGCTGTCTATCAGAGGTTGATGCACAAACAATATTTATTTTTCTTAGAAAGACACATTTTGCTTTCCCGCCTGCCAAATTTAGGAACGGTTCAGAGTATCTAACAAGGCAACACTATTCTGAGTCCAAGTAGGTTTACCCCAAAGTAGGCAGGTGCAGATGGCTACCTGAATCTGTTAAATAGTCAACAGTAAATGCCAACTGGAAAAGACCCTGATGTTGGGAAAATGTGAAGGCAAGAGGAGAAGGGGGCGATGGCGTCATCGAAGCTACCAATATGAATTTGACCCAACTTTGGGAGGCCGTGGAAGACAGGAGGGCCTGGTGTGTTCTCTGGTCCTTGGGGTCACGAAGAGTCGGACATGACTAAACGACTAAGCAACAACCAAATGCCCTGCTAAAAGGGGCCACTGCCACACCCGCCCACTCTGTTTTTTTAATTTCTCTTGCTCTGCCCTGTTGTCAGCCATGCAATTATTGCTTAATTACTGGTGAGGCATGGGACACTTCATCAGGACCCCCAGGGAAGCTGTGCACTCGGCATGCAGTGGGACTAAAAGCCCCACCAGCTCAAGGCAGCTGGGGATAATGGGAGGTATTAGCCCAATACTGAGGGAGGGGAGAGAGCCGAGGAGCATCTGTCTGAAACGGAGTAAAGGCAGTTATTTGGGATGAGAAATAAGCAGGCCATTTTGGTTCCAGGATTTGCCGCCTTCTACTCGACACCTGTTTTTCCGACTGCGGTGTTCATTCTGACTGTTCCCTTCGCCTTTCCTGCAGGGACGGGCTTCGGCTTGGAACCCGGCCACTCCTTTTTCACCACTTCTGCCACCAGCCTGCTGCCCTCTGCCGGGGAGAGCAGTCGAGGGAACCGTCCAGAAGCCCAGAGCCGGCCCGGATCACCTTGCCAGAGGGCTGTCCCGGGGCTGGGTTATGACATGTTAAGCCACTAAGCAAAGCGGCACTTAAGCCGCCCCACCGCCTCGCTCAAAAGATGTGTGCTGGGGAAAATGTGAAATTTAGAGGCTTTTCAAGTGTGTTGAGTTTTGCTTTCAGGGTTGCCATTAGTTCCCTGTCAGAGTGAGGCCCTAACTTGCAATTTACTTAGCTTCTATGTAAATCCATCCTGGAGATGGTGCTGGGGGGGTGCAGACCTGCTGCCGGCTGTATCTCCTCTTTCCCTTCTACCACCTCGTCCTCCTTCCTCTCCTCTTTTCTTCCACAGTTCACCCTGTTTTCCCATTTCTCGCTCTGCACATGCCCAGGTATCCGGGCATGCTCAACCTAGAGGCTTGCATGTAACAGCTTGTGGCCAAGATAATGACCTATTATTAGTTACTTCCAGGTGACAAGAGAGTCACAAAGTTACATGGGAAACGGAATGCAATGAAAGGCATAAAGATCCTTTACCCCTGCGGTGTTGTAACATTCTCCCGTTGCTTTTAGAAGTGACTTTTTAAAAAAGGCATTTTAGTTGGATTTGTTCCGCTCCCTCCTGCGACGTGTCTCCCCACTTCTGGCTCAGCTTTCCCGCGGGCCTTCCATCCAGCCAAATTTAAACAGTGCCAGCGAGAGCAGGAAAAACCGGTCGGTCTGGTGAGCATCAGAGGTGGCAGGGATGGGAGAGGGCTGAACTAAGGGGCCCGGGAGGCTATGCCGTCTTCTTCTTCTTCTTCACTCAGCAAGTTCCCACAATAACTCAGAGAAAGGACTCCATGTTCGGCCCAGGCCCTTTCAGAGGGTGGGCTTGGTCCTAGAATGCCCCCCCTCCCAGGGCAGGAGGGGAGGTGATGGAAAGGTGGGGGAGTGAGTGGCCTCCCGCTCTGCTCTGCAGGCAGGTAGCTTCTAGAGGTGTACCACTCCCCTGGGCTTCTTTGGGGGGGGTGCTTTTCTAGTGGCTTTGTAGGGGCCCCGCTCTCCCACTCGCAAGAGCCGAGTGAGCCCCTCCACCTTCCCCAGGAGGAAGACCTCCATTGCCTCGAAAGGCATTTGCTAATTTCCTCCATACGCAGAAGCAACCTTAGAAAGGCTTTTTTTTTGGGTGCAAGTTAAACAGAATGACCAAGGCGCTTACAGGAGGAGGAAAGGGTGTGATGCTGAATCGGCCACAGGGGGTAGGGGGTGTTGCTGCTCAGGATGGATGATGAGCCACTGCAAGATCCCTATCCAACCTCCGGCTCATGGATCTTCAAATTCAGAGTTAAAGGAGACACATTCAAAACAAGGGCCATCTTCCTTTACAAAGGGGGTGTGTGTCACGTGGCCACCCAAACAGGAGTTCATCCGGCCAACAGAACCGGGACATCTGCTGGCCTTAAGAGAAGAGTGGGGGGGGGGGAGGGGGGGAGGAGGCTGTCCTGGTGGTTTGCTGGTGTGATTTCCAAAATGTTTTCTAACCCAGGCTCTGAATGGGTCCATGAAGGGCCGTCCCTGAGCGAGGAAGATAACACCAGCAGGTTTGTGTTTTTATACCCCTACTGCTCCTTGAAGGGTTTTTAAAAACATGTCGGCATCCTTCTGCTGAATTTGCCAAACAAGTTTTGATGATAGCTTTAACTCTTTGGAAAGCATCCCAACAGCATCCCCAGCTGGGTAGTATGTAAACATTTCAAGTAAGACCGCCTCTTTAGTGCTGTGTTGGGTTAAGGTTTTGGAGACCTGGGTTCAAATCCCCACTCGGCCATGAAACTCTTGGGGTGTGTATGTGTGTGGACCTGGGAGCTGTCCCACATACTCTCACACAACCTGGCCTCCCTCTCAGGCTTTGTGGAGGGGAAGAGTACCTTGAGAAAGCTAGATCACAATGAATGAATTAATTAATCCAGTCCCAGGCGAGTTCTCCTGCACTTTCTGCTTCCCTCTGCCTTTCCTGCAACAGAGGTGAGAAATGTTCACTTTGTTCTGAGCACAAACTCCAGGAGGCCAGATTCTGGTTTTCAGGGGCCATAAGCCTCAAAATAAACACTTCCCATCCATGGCTTGCAAAAGGAAACAGTGGGCTCCTCGTGCATAATTTGCAGCCTGATCGAAGGCCAGGCCCTCGGAGCCCCAGCGCCAAGGAAGGATTAATGAGCACCACCTTTGCTGCTGGGGGTGGGGTGGGTGCAAGGACTCCATGGGTCTCCCAAGCCAGTTCCTGGGAAAGTGAGGAGCCCCCATTTCCCTCTCTTATCTCTGCCAAGCTCAGCTGGGCTCACTTGTTTGGAAGGGAATCGACCTTGGCTGGTGTTTGCTTTGGGGAGGGAAGGGGGGTGTTATATGATCTGCGCCTTGGGGCTAAGTTTTTGCAGAGAGATGGGAGGGTGGGAGGAGGCAGAGCGCACAGGTGGCTAGCAGGCAGCTGGAATGGGGAGGGGGGACTGAAAAAGGTAAAAAAGCTCCCCCCCCCCGCAGCTTGTTTGCTGCTGGGCAGAGTGGCTTCTTGTAGGTGACTGTGGCCACGGCAGAGAAAAGTTACTTCTTGTGACTACAATTCCCAGCTTCTCTGCTTTAATAATGCAGCCACCAGCCATGGTGGGCTGGATGATCCTGGAAATGATGGCTCAAAAAATGTCATTTTTCACAGCTCTAGTGGAGGATGGGTTCAAGACCACCACAATTCCCCCATCCAGGTATCAGAAGCGCTTTAGCGGGGTCTCCTAGACCCACCGATGCTGCCTGCCTGCACAGCAAGGCCCCCTCTCTTGCCCGCCACCTCACTCCCAACCTGCCTGCAGCCAGACAGTGCTTTTGTTGTTTAAAGAAACAGAGAGGTTTTGTCCAGCAGAACATGGTGGAGAAAAGGGGGCCTGGTTGATGGTTTTCGCTTGAGGTCCACCTTTGGGGGGAGGAGCGGGGGGGCTGTGCTCCATCCAGCCCAGGTGAGCTGGAGAGGATGATTCTAAAGTGTGGGACAAGCGCAACCCTACAACGGTACCATCATCAGGTCAGCCGAGGCCTGGCTGAGATATCACACACACACAACACACAACACACAACACACAACACACACACACACACACACACACAAGTTAAAACACAAGGGACCCCTTCAAGTCCTCCAGAATGCTCCATCCCTCTGGGGTGGGCCTCCAAGTAAAGAGACCCCAAACTGGGGGAGTTACGTGGCCCCACATGGCTCATGCCATTTTTTTTTAAACCAGGAAGGCACACAGAGAGTTTCAAGCACCACATGAGACGACGGGGACCAAATGATTAACCTGCAGCCTCTCCCTCTGAAGACAAAAGCACTGGCTTAACCCCACCCCCAGGCTCCCTAGATCTGGCAAAGAAAACAAAGGGTTCCAGGGGGTCATCTAGTCCAACCCACTGCCAACATCTGAAACCAAGACAAGAGCAAACGCACCCCCAACAGATGGTGACCCATCGCCTGTTTTTAAAAAGTGGCAAGAGGGACAGAGACGAGGAACATGAAGGACACAGGGTGCCTTTGTCACTCGAATGGAGTGTGCGGCCAGCTTGGAGAACTAGACACCGTGGGAAGCACATAAGAGGAGCATTTGGGGGCAGATGATTTTCTCCAGCTTCCAGCAGGCTCCGGGGAGGGGGGGCTTTCCCCCTCTGCCCTCCAAACCCTTCTGTGGTTCTTCCCCCACACCCTAACCCTACACAGCCCCCCAAGGAGCCAGACTCAACCTTAAAAAGAAAAAAAAACAGAAAATCCTTTATTAAAACTTTACACCCTGATTCTTCAAATCCTTTCAGCTCATCACAGAGACTAGCTCATACGTAGTACAAAAAACTCCAACTCGGCTAAGAACACTTAGGATATGCATATCTTTCTTTTTTAAAAAAAAGGCAGCTAAGAGTTTCCAGGAGGAGGGTTGGGCAGCGCTTGTGAAGCCTCGCCAGGAGAAGGGCAGGCTGGCCAGTTGGCTGGCAGGAAGCGCCTGGGGCAGGTTGGTTCTACCACAAGACACACACCTCTCAGGACAAGTCCTTGGTCCTGCTTCTCCCTCCCCTACTGGCACACAAACACACACACACACACAATAACAAGTCCATCCTTGCTTCTTCCGTGAAGTCTTCCGATGCAGGCCAGCTTCAGCAGCAAGCACTGGGCATCTTCTGCCCCCCCCCGGCATGTGGAACTGGGGGGGGCGTGTGCCTCGGATTCCTCAGCAACGGGACAGCACCTTCATCTCGAGGCACCCGTCACAGACAGTTCAGAGGGGGTTGGGAGAGAGAAATGGCCACGCGTTGGGCTCAGAAGCCTTTCCCAGGCGGATCGGCACACAGGCAGCCCCGGGGGGTAGTGGTGGTCCAGGGCCTCCTTCTCAAAGGCATCCATGGAGGGGCCTCTCCAAAGCCCCAAGGCCACTGAGGACCCACTGACGAGATGCCACCCAGTTTGGCAGACCAGACAGCAGGTGGTACGAGAGGAAACTTGCCAGGGAAGAGGAAGAGGACCCGGGGAGCCTTCCTCTCCTCCTCCAACCCCCCCCTCTCCTTAGTCCTCCCCTTCTTCTTCCTCGCCACCTCCGTACAGGTCGGCCAGCTTCTTGAAGCGGCTGCCCCAGTCATTGAGGTAGTCGTAGTCCTGATCCCGGTCGGAGCTGGACGAGTCGATGGAGCTGAGGGAGCCGGCTTCCGAGCCGCTGCCCTCGTAGTCAAACACCAGCAAGGAGTCATAGGGGGGTGCGGTGGGGTCCGTGTCGGCCGCCTTCAGGTTCTTGGGGAGGGGGAGAGAAAGGGTCAGGTTGACAACGAGCACGCCCTTCCTTCCTTCCTTCCTCCTGTCTGGATCCCAAGACGGATTCCGAGCCTGCTTGCATAATGGGTGGTGTTGTTTAAAAACCCAAACGCAGCTAAAAACCACAATGGGTTATAGTATGGAAACTCAGTTAAAGATAGGATACTAAAATAATTTCTGAGAACACACCAAAAAATTGTGAAAAGCAAGGCTCCTGCCCCCATTAAAGGCGCCTTCTTCAGTATCCACACACTTTCCCAAGGGAAACGAAGACCTGAAGAGAGACCGGCCTTTGCTTCTCTCTGGAAAGCACATCTGATGGGCAAGCACAGTAGCGGCAGAAAATGACCGCTCACTCGTCAAGGTGCTGCTGGCCTTCCAGGACAGTCGCCCGCGTCATGCAATTGGTCACATGGCCCCTGAGAGCCGGCATCAAAAAAGGCACAGTGTTGGTTTGTATACTGCTGGGGAAAATTTGTTTTTTGTTTTTTTAAACCAAGTAAACACTGACAGCTACCAGCAGTATTCTTAATGGTGGATTAAAGGTGTCCACCTCTTCCTGCATTTGCACCAGCCATTGAGTAGCTGATGAAAAAGGGGGCTTTTCTGCAGATGGGTGATGATGAGCTTATACATATATATATATATGCACACAATGTATTTTTAAAGTGGTTTTGAGTTCAACCCTCTTCTAACATCAGCCGCC